CCACCTCAGCGTGCTTCATGCCCAGGCACGAGAGGCAGCGATCGTGACCATCACCCAGCGCCAGGTAACGACCGCATCCAGAATGCCCGGGTGATACGTTGTCTATAGCAAGACCCACATCGTCTTTATAAAGACGTAACGTCAAGTTTGCCAAGCAACGTCGTCTTTAAAAAGACGCACCCGAAATTGCTCTTTTAGGGGAAAAAGCTCTTTTAGCATGCTGAGGTGCACAGGGGAGATGATCATCTGCAACACAAACAGGGGGTAGTGCAGCCTGATGGGTGCAACCCACTCGACACGGGAAACCACCACCGCTGAAGCACTGTCCGCCAACACGAAGAGCTCTCCAAGAGCGCGCTGAACTCGTTCAGTCTTCTTCTCTCAGTAGAGTAGTCAGGAGCAGAACGATGTGATCGCTCGGCTCCGAAGCGAAAAGCTGAATATGCGCTGCATCTGCTGCCTACTTATACTCACACTTGATCAGCAGCAGCTGGATGCAATAATCGCATGCCAATGAGCATTGGCTCGTTTAGTTTACACTCGAAGTAGATTGGTCCCTCTAAACGAGATCCCAATTTCGTCGGTCATCCGACGTGACGTCGAGAGTGACCGACTGAAAGGGAACACACATAATGTGCATTTCCTGGCTTTGACATTAGTGAAGGTTGCATAACTAGCATGTTAATATACACCATAACGTAAGACTTATGCATTACCGTCCATGTCTTGGTGTTTTCTGGATCTGGGATTTGCTTTGGGTGTTGGTGAAGCAGCTTGAGTCTCCAAACCAACTAAAACACAGAGATGCACACCATTAAACAGTCTGATGAGTGAGGAAATGAGATCACTGCAAAGAGAGAAGCTAGATCTCATGTCAGTTAACACCTCCCCCATAATCCTATTTTTAAGGTCTGGTGTAATGTGGTGGTCCCTCCAGCCCTCTCCGCTCCATCTGAAGAGCTACCGCGAGAAAATGAGCTTTAAAATGCTGCTTTAAAGCCACCCCTGAGGTGGAGGTTTCATTTGTGCTGAGCAAACATACTGTGACAGGAAATTACAATAAGCCTAACACAAGTTGACACGAGAGAGACAGAAAGAGAGAATATCACAAGCGGTTTGCATAACTAAACTCAGAGACATTGATTTAAATCCAGCAGGAAGATACTAGAAGAAGTGGAAAATAAAAATAAAATGGAGTTCATTGTGTTAGCTTTCAAAATGTCAAAAATATATCTCTTTATGTATTTAACACGCTTTACAGTTTGTTTTTCCTTCACTATCTGGTCCAACTTATCTATTCATTTTTTTACTTCAATTATAGATTTGCAGATAAATTCAAAATTAGGCACAATTTATATCAGTCTACAGAACAAATGCACTAATTTGAACCATTTGAGTCTAAACTTTTGCCTGATAATGCACATACACAAATATACATAAAACAAAATGATAGATAAGTGTAATTATATAATCATTTAAATAAAATTAGTTAAAAAAACATCTTGTAAATAATTTTTAATAATTAAATTATATACATTATTTAAATAAGATGTTTTTATTAAAAAATATATATATAAATTTATTTTAGAGCTGCCAACATTAACGCGTTAACGCATGCGATTAATTTTACAATCCTTAACACTTTAAAATAATTTAACGCAATTAACGCAAAATTAATGAAGTACAATTTCTATATAACCCTTTAACCCAATTTTGATTCTCTGCTTGCGACACGCTTTACAGTTTGTTTTTCCTTCACTATCTGGTCCAACTTATCTATTCATTTTTTTACTTCAATTATAGATTTGCAGATAAATTCAAAATTAGGCACAATTTATATCAGATATAAATTTATTTTAGAGCTGCCAACATTAACGCGTTAACACATGTGATTAATTTTACAATCCTTAACACTTTAAAATAATTTAACGCAATTAACGGAAAATTAATGAAGTGCAATTTCTATATAACCCTTTAACCCAATTTTGATTCTCTGCTTGCGACTAGATCATTTTAAGCTGCTAAACTCCGGGAAAGTTTTCAGTCCAATTATCCAGTAAGCGAATGCATTCAAACAATCCGTCCAAAACAGCGCTAATATAAAGGAAACCAGGATGATTATTTCACAATAAACAAATTGAAACTGTAGCCTACATCGTTTGTGCAATTACAATTATTTAAATTGAACGTTGAAAGATAATATTGATCATGTTCTATTCTGTAATGTTAATAGAAATCATACACTGTCAGATTAAAAATGTTGCATTTTATGCATGCAACAGCCATTCACTGGCAGTGCCTAATGGCAGTAAAGTTCAAATGTTACAAATAAGTTAGAATATTAATGTTCCAATACTGGTAGCACTAATATAAAACTGTGATGATATATGTTACAAAAAAGTAAACATTTTGAGTATTTTTTTGTAT